GAAGACGAGATGGACAGAGGGAGGGGAGAGACGTCAGAGCGGCCGTGAGCTGACAGACACAGTGTGCCGCCAGGGAAGGCCGCGCTCGGGGGCCCGACATTCCCAGCCAGCGGCCTCGCACACGATGCTCTGCAGGGCTAACCTCTGGACCACGCGGACAGGTGACTGTTACTTTATCATTTTTCCTACCATCGTTTTTTTTGTTTTGTCTTGTTAATCCTCACCTGAGGATATTTTTCCATCGATGTTTACAGAGAGTGGAAGGCAGGGGGAGAGACAGACAGGGAAACATCGACGTGAGAGAGACACATCGATTGGTTGTCTCCCCTAGGTGCCCCGACTGGGGCTGGGGTTGGAGCCTGCAACTGAGGTTCATGCCCTGGACCAGGATCGAACCCGGGACCCTTCAGTCCGCAGGCTGATATTCTAACCACTGAGCAACACCGGCCAGGGCCGTTTTTCCCTATTTCCTTTGAATTCTTTTATAAGACCAGCAGGGTCACGGGGGTGGGTGGGTACTTTTAAGCAGACGGCCACGCGGAAGGGATAAAAGAACCCCCCCACTTCTGGGGACTGCCTGGGGGAGTCTCTCACTCCATGTCCCCTGGCCCACGGGTTCCTAACAGAACCCCAAGCGAGGACATCCAGGGCCCCTCACCGTCTGACCCCAGCTTGTCTGCCCGGCCCTGTTTCAGACATGGGGCCGCTGCGCGTGGCCAAGGCACCTTCCCGCACTCCGGTCTTTACTTGCTGCGTCCGGCACTGAGGGCGGAGGGACCGAAGGCTGGGAGATCCCAGCTTCCCACAAGCTGTGAGATCCCAGCCTCGGGGCCTCTCTGACCCTCAATCCCCTCCCCAGGGACATGCCCTGTGGAGTGTCGACCACACGCCAGGCTGGCCCGCCATCCCACTGGCCCCCGGGCAGCCCCAGGCCGCGGCTAACTCCTGCTCTGCCCGCAGAGTCAGCCCGAGGGGAGACCCCTTACCTGCGAGAACCCTTCTCACGGACTGAAACACGGCAGTGAAGACAGACTCTTCGGCGGGGTGGAGCTCCGGGGCCAAGAAGAAGAGCGCCAAGAAGCTCACGGCCGCCTGGAAGGCCGGGGCATC